ATAAAAAAAATTTCATTTATATTATGTTATCTTCATCAGTCATCACAATAAACACATCTAGTTCTATACTCTTATAAAAAACTAACGTTTACTCTCTCTTCACCCAGTTTTAGCTTCCGATTGAAAAACTATTTTTAACTCATGTTAAAGTTATACATTTTGATGTTTGTGGTTAGTGAGAAAACACATGTATTTAGTGGTATATCACATTTCAAATACCCTGTCAGACTCTTTAAAATCAGCTGCTTCAATGGAGTTCGTTATCACTATGTTGTTAAGATTATGTAAACATGCTTCATGAGACCTTACTTCTGTCTAATTTATGAATGAATATCTTTTAAAGTGCTGTATATTTCGCAAGCAGACTATTGATTCAAGTTCTTCACATCACATCACTTCTCGAGCTTCTCTTTGTAATTCTCCCATACTAATTTAAACTAAGAATTTTTTAGGTGTCTACGTTATGTAATATTATATCCATACACTAACCACAAACCAAAATCAAAATCTCAATGGTTCATATTCCATAGATATTCTCAGCATTAAAGTTCTATTGAGCTTTTAAACTTGTCAAAGGAAAAGTCTACATTTATAAATGTTTGGTGTTTAATAAACTTAGTTCCAAGGCTCACTATTTATCCCTCCCCAAGGTATATGGTGAGTCTAGTCTCATCTTTTAACTTGTCTCCTAGTCATTTTTTCATGTCTACAAATGATGGTGGTTCATCTCCATTTAGTACATCAATACCTTTAGCCTTTTTAGACCTGTTTGCAAATTATTCCTCTTACAAGGCTTTGGGTAATATTTTCCCTCCAGAAAATGTTCCATATCATTTTTGAATGAATGTCTTTCAAAGAGCCATATATCTCATTAGAAGACTCTTAACTCAAGTTTTTTGTGGTGGTCACCTTTTAAGCTTCTCTTTGTAGTTACCCAACTAAATTAAATAAAAAATTTTAGGTGTCTGTGCTACATAAGGTTACAGCCATATTTAAATCACAAAGTATAACCAAGATCTTAATGATGCATATTCCTTGGGTATTCTGAACATCTAAGTTGTAATAAACGATTTGTACTTATCAAATGAAAAGCCTACTTTTATATGGATTTGGTGTTTAATAAACTCAATTCCAAGGCTTCACTAGTTCCCCCTCCCGACGGTCTATAAAAGTTCGACCTTATCTTACTAACCTGTCTCCTAGTAACTTACTCATCTATAAAATAATGGCACCCAACTTCCACTAATTAGTACATCAACAACTTCTACCCATTTAGATTAATGCATAAATCATTCCTCCAATAAGATTTTAGGTAATATTTCACCTCTTTGTAACTTGTCTCCCTCCCAAAGGCCTATAGAAGTTCAATCTCATCTTACTAACTTGTCTTCTAGTAACTTATTCATCTACAGAATGATGGCATGCAACCTCCTCTAATCAGTACGTAAACAACTTCTATCCTTCTAGATTAATGTATAAATCATTCCTCCAACAAGATTTAGGTAATATTTCACCTCTTTCTCCTCACTTTCTATTAACAATTCTAACTTAGTTAATTGACTTATCTCAGGCAACATTTTTTTCCGCAATACATGCTTAATTTCACCTTAAAATGCTCTAAACTTCTTTTCCTTGAACCTTATTGTATGTCATATATGTTGAAGAATGGTCACTATTAACAAGTTATAGTGAATGAAATGAAATGCATTAATAAAAATGGTAAATGAAAGGTCCTATTACATCCAAGTTCGTAAAACTTGGTTGGTTGTAAATGGGGTTTCAAACTCAAAGTAAAATCCCGATGATTATATATTTAATTCCTATTTGGTGGCAAGGGTTTTCACCAGAGTCTTAGTGTTGATTACTTTAATAGTTTTAATCCTTTAGTGAAACCTGCTTCTATTGGGATATTTCCTCTTCACCTCTACGTGTTTGCATACTCTGATGTCGTTAGACAACAATTCAAACAATTTACTAATGCAGTTGTTCATATTGTATACTTTAATGGCAATCCAATATCTTAGCATAACAAAATATGAAAATTGTTTGCACAATCCTCAATTGAAATCGAATAGATGTTTGTTACCTCAACTGCAACTAAGCTGCTATTGGTTCAAAATTTATTAATTGAACTTCACATCAAAAATCTCTGAGCCTTCTGGGATATACTCTGGAAATCTTGGAGCCACTTATGTATATCAAAATCTGGATCTATACTCTCGCATGAAACACACTTCACTGACCTCCATTTTATCTTCAACAACATGACCAGAGGGCTTTTACAATTCTAGATATTGGAGATTGAAGAGGAGGTACGTATGCAGTAAAGATAAAGGAAAGAATAAAAAGCAAAAAAATAGGAAAATATGAGTTTTAGGGCTATTTCATTTATAGGAGGAACAAAAAACAACTAATGGTACATGATAAAAATAATAAGAATAATAATAATAACCGCAACAACAATAAAAAGAAAGAAAAAAAAATTAAGAGAAACTTAAAAAAAAAATTAACGAAAGCTCATAATATTTATTATGTGTAATATAATGCAATATGGTTTTTTTACTTTAGGTATATATCTTACATAGTTATTAGACAGTCCATTGTAGTACTATGTGCTACTTGGTTTTGAGTTGGTTGAAACTAAGATTAATGGATTAATAAATGAGCTTAGGTTAAATAGATAGTTTAAATGGCACATCGAATTGCTAGTAACCTACATGTTAGAGGGGGTATAAAAACTAGCATAACACCTCTTTAGTGAGGAACCTCATCGATTTTAAGGTTTTTACGATGGAGAGCACCTAAAGAGCTACTTTCTCAGTGCCTAAGGGAAGATCCATTATTTGGATGGTAGAAATCCGACCTTGCAGTGGTTGAGAAGGAAGTTCATCAACAACTATTCCAATGTATACGTGATCAATAGTGAATAAGTGGCAAAAATAAGCTCCTGGATCTCCTCAAGCTTTATACTATTAAGGTCTTAATGATGTTTATGCTTGAAATTTTCATATAGTAATTGT